GCAATGCAGGGGATTTATTTAAATTTAAGAAAAGCTTTTAGTACCTAAGATGATGGACTATTACCTATCTTGAAAAGGACTAGATTATCTAAATCTACCTGTATAATAATCTTTTGGAATGAACCATTAGACATGAAATGAAGTTAAACAGTATGTTGTACTTTAAAGAAACCTTACTAAGGGCACTGGAATGGACCATCCCAATGTGTAAAAAAACTAGTGAGTATGGCAGAAGACCAGTGTGGCTTAACAGGGAATTCTTCTGTGAATGTAGACACAAAAGGGAAGCTTATAAGAAGTTGAAACTTGCACAAACTACTAGAGAGGAGTATAAGAATATTGTTTGGGCATGTAGGGATAAAATCAGGATGGCCAAAGTGTAATTGGAGTTGCAGCTAGCAAGAGTTGCGAAGGGTAACAAGAAGGGTTTCTACAAGTATGTCAACAACAAGAAGAAGTACAGGGAAAGTGTGGGTCCCTTACTGAATGGGGAACGAAACTTAAATGACAGGTGATGTAGAAACGACTGAAGTACTCAATGCCTTTTTACCTTAGTCTTCACAGGAAAGGTCACCTTCCAGACTACTGCACCTGGGGAACAAGGCGAGCAGCTGACAGTGGCAAAAGAACAAGATTAGGACTATTTAGAAAAGCTGGATGTGTTCAAGTCCTTGAGGCTGGATGCAGTGCACCCAATGATGCTCAGGAGGTTGATTGATGTGATTGCAGAGTTCATTATCTGGCCATTATCTATGAAAACTCATAGCAATCAGGAGAAGTGTTGGATGATTGGGAAAGAACAACTATAGTGCCCAACTTTAAGAAGTGGCAAAAGGAGGATCCAGGGAACTACAGAGTGGTCATCTTCACCTCACTCCCTGGAAAAATCATGGAGCAGGTCCTCAAGGAATTCGTTTGTAAGCACTTGGAGGAGAAGGTGGTAATTAGGAACAGTCAGCATGGATTCACCAAGGGAAAGTCATGCCTGACCCACCTGATTGCCTTGTGTGAGGAGAGGATTGGCTCTGTGGATGCAGGGAGAGCAGCAGACATGATATACCTTCACTTTAGCCAGGCTTTTGATATGGTCTCCCACAGCATTCTCACCAGAAAGCTAAAGAAGTACAGATTGGATGAATGGATGGTAAGGTGGATAGAAAATTGCCTGGATCATCAGTCTCAGAGGGTAATAGTCAATGACTCAAAGTCTAGTTGGTAGCTGGTATTAAGTGGATTTCCTCAGGGGTTAGTCCTAAGCCAGCTTTGTTCAGTATCTTCATCAGTGATTTGGAAGATGAGATGGACTGCACCCTTAATAAGTTGTGAATTACACCAAGTTGGAGGAAGTAGTAGATACACTGGAGGGTATGGCTAGAATTCAGAACTAGAAAAGAAATATCATAAGGTGCAACAAGGGCAATTGCAAAGTCTTGCCCATAGGATGGAGCAGTCCCATGCACCAGTACAGGCTTGGGACTGACAAGCTAAGCTTCAGCCCTGAAAAAAGGAACTTGGGGGTTGCAGGAGAAAATAGCTGAATATGAGACAGCAGTGTTCCCTTGTTGCCAAGAAAGCTAACAGCCTACTGGGCTACATTAGTAGGATTATTGCCTGCAGATCCAGGGAAGTGATTATGCCCTTCTTCAGCACTGTATAAGCTGCTATGGGCAGATTCTGGGCAGATCACAGCAGGCCATGTTTGGTCATGCTAGTAGAGCTGACCATTTTCACGTTTACTGCCGGCATTGGCTAAGGGCCCACTCTTCAGGGTCCTAGCCTCAGCTGCAGCTGGGCTTATAGATAACACCCCAAGGCTACCCAGGGCTTGTCAGAAATGCAAAATGAGCCAAGGAAGTTAAACAAATAAACTAGCATTTCACTGTCTTCCCAGGATTCACCTTCTGGCTACCTCTTATCTTTCAGAGGCTTTGCAGAGCCTGCAGTCTTGTGCAAACAAAAGAAGCAAACAAATAAAATGAACAAGTAAACTAATGAACAGGCAGGAGCCCTGCTCTCCAGCAGCTGCCTAACCCCTGGTAACCTCCAGGCAGCCTTCTCCCAGCCAGGTGCAGCCCCTTGAAGCTGCTTTCAGCTCTTTTATTCTTCCCCTTGTTGGTGCTGACTCTTCCTCATTCACCACACCTGTGTCAGCTCCCTTGCTGGGACACTCACCTGAGAGTCCCCAGACCTGGTTCCCCAGCCCTCAGTGATTCCTTCCAAGTCTGGAGTGGACGTGTGGAGGTGCTTCAAGGGTGTGGGGCTGTTCAGACTCCCCTGCACCCTTAGTAACAGGACCCTGACCTGTTACACATTGGTGAAGCCACATCTGGAGTACTATGTCAAGTTTTGGGCCTCCCACTACAGAAAGGATGTAGCAAAATTAGAGAGGGTCCTGTGGAGGGCAACAAAAATGGTTAGGGCCTTGGGCACATGACTTAAGAGGGGAGGCTGAGGGAACTGGGGTATTAAGTCTGGAAAAGAGAAGACAGAGGGGGTATTTAGTAGCAATCTTCCAGTACCCTGAAGGGTGGTTACAGAAATGGAGCTAGACTGTTTTTAATGGTGGCAGATGACAGAACAAAGAGAAAGGGTTTTGAGCTGCAGCAAGGTAAGTTTAGGTTAGAAATCAGGAAAAACTTTGTTGCTAGGAAGGGTAGTAAAGCACCAAAACAAGTTACTCAGAGGTTGTAGAATCTCCATCCTTAGAAATTTTAAAGACCTGGGTAGACGAAGCCTTTTCTGGGATGATATAGTTGAGCATGACC